TTTATTGTATCTCTGAAAAATAATTGCTGATTCATTTTATGTCAGTGAAGATACGATTCATGATTCATTTCAAATTAATCAATATAATGTATCTTTCTATATTATCAGGTCAACAGAGTGTTCTCGCCTGTTATCTTATTACATGTACATAAAGGATGAGGACTACAGACCAGCAGGACCCACTGTACCCTGGCTGTGGCACCTGACCATGCCAGCTGTGCTGTATATTGTGGCCCTGGTGCTAGCTTATCTATTACAGGACCACACCGGAAGTCAAGGGCTGATAGTGTTTGGGGAATTGGCTTTATTTATTTTTCTGTCCACTAAACATCAGCATAGAATGCTACATGTGTGTAGGTATGTGAATGATGCATTTCATATTTTGTATTTGGACAAAATGGCTTTGTGTTATAGTATGCTGTAGTATTACCATGTAAGGTTAGGATACATGCACGCTATAACTGTTGTGTTTTTATATGCTGTGATAGGATTGAGTGTCAGAATTTAAGAACAGTTGGTATTTTGAGAACATATTTGTACTGCATACTGTGTCTAAAAAGAGCACATTTTATGTATGTATTTTTGTACTATACAAAATGATTACAAAAGATTTATTATCATGGTATGTTAGTACTAGAAAAATAATTAGAAAGGAGTTATTATCACATTATTTTTCTTCATTTCAGATGGCCAAATCCTTTGTTTGCAGGCAGTTTTGCAGCTGGTTTATTCATCACATTGGCTTGCTACTACCTCCAAATGTTTAGTTGTATCCTCTGTTATTGAAAAAGAAGAGCAGCCCACTCTTTGACATTTTTGTGATCACTTTCTGCAATAATTAATCACTTAATTAAAGTTTCATTAATTATCTATATTTTCTGATACAGTATTTTGTTATTTATACTTATAAAAATGACTTTAGGTAAATGGTAAATTTATTCTTGATTTTGCATTTGAATAATTAGTAAAAAGTACCATTTTGTCGTAGTGTCTTGAAGTGTAAACACAATCTTCTTAACACTGCATAGATGTCTCTCATCATCATTACTTGAACCTTCTGTCAATATCTCTCACTGTTGTCATGCTGTATATGTACTGGAGACTTTGGACTCGTGATCCTGGTAAGTGATATTTTTAAGCAGTAACATTGTTAGAATTTCCAGCAAATTACCTTGCATTGGTATAAAAAGACAGAAAAAGAATAAAAAATTGATCTACATAGATTCTTACAACTTACAAATAGTCTATAATATTTTGTTTTGAAAGAGTAACATATTTGTTTAATCATCACAAAGTTAACAGTGACTGATGTATTTTTGTTAAAACTAAATTTTCAGTTGTAAATTTGAACTGTCATAAATTGTATCCTTAGGTGTTGTCCGCGTCTCTGCCTTGAAGCCCAATAATGGTGGATATTACAGTGTGAGAGATGTAGCTACAGGACAGGTGTCCCCTGAAATGTTTTGTACAACATGTGAGGTAGGTTCACTCACAGGATAAAATGCCTCATTTAAGGCTGGCCTAGAGAATTTTTGGATGGGAAAGAAAATTGTGCTCCTTGATTTTCTCCTTTTATGAAAATAAAAACCGATTTTTCCACAACTAATTTGTAATGACATTAAAAGGTAAGTGGTTTCAATTGCATGTGTAGGTAATTTTATAGAAAAAATAACAGATTTTATCAAACTTTTTAAAGATATAATAAGTAATATATTTTAACAATATAATTTAAAAGGAAAAGTTGACATACTTTGCAACTGAATTTGTGACAGATCATGAGATGTACAAGTATACGTATATGATGGCTATTTTCTATCAATACAATTCCAGATTGTTAGACCACTGAGGAGCAAGCATTGTAAGCTTTGTGAACAGTGTATCCAGGGCATGGATCACCACTGCCTGTTCTTACTGCGCTGTGTGGCCAAGCACACCCATAGACTCTTCATTCTCTTCATTATAACTGTGCTGTGCAGTCAGGTGCTGTTCCTGGTCCAGGTCTATCTCTACTACCAAGCTGTGTTACCCAGTGTAACAAGCAATGACTGGTTCATATATGTTAAATCTGCCTTCAATCAACATGCGTGGGTGCTTAGCTTATCTGTCTTGAACTTAGGATCTATACTATGGGGACTGAAATTGCTCAAATTTCAACTTAGTTTAGTCTCCAAAGGATACACTACAGTTTTCCAGCCTCATTTTCAAAAAGAATGTGGACTGTCAAAGTTAGAAATGGTATTGAATGTGATATATTTCATAGCTGGAAAAGGTTTATATCTGAAAGATCCACTTTTTGATGTTTGACTATATTTAATGAGAATTTGTTCATTAGAGTTACATCTGTAAAGGTTAAAAGTTCTATTTTAAGTTACTTTTAGCATAATGTTATGTACTTAGATAGGCTTGCATTCCTAGTATTGTCTTCCAAGATGAATACTTATTTGAGGAAATGTCAGTAATTGGTCACCTTTTTGCTAAGCATTCAGTACAGATACGCCAACTTGAGAAAATTATTTGAGCAATATTACTTAAATGGTGCTTTTTTGTGTAATGTAAACAGATAATGGGCAACCACAGGAGAGTTTTGTGAAATGTTGCTTTGTATGTCATTTGAAAAGTGGTGTTTCATTAGGAATTCTGTACCAATACTGGAAAACTCCATGGCATTTGATGCTGCTTCTACGATCCACAAATTTTTCCTGAATGATATATATTGTTACCTATGTGCTTGAAAAATGGTGCCCCCCCCCCCTTTTTTTTTCTTTTTTTTTTTTTTTATAGTAAACATTTTCATATGGGAGACATATTGGTCAGTTTATATGCATGTTGTTATTCAAATGTGGCTAAGTCACATTTAGTGTTCCATTTATCAGATACAACGAATGATATATAATTTTTATTTTATAATATTTATATTTGTTTTGATTAATTTTTGTTAAATGTGGTTTTAATACTGTCATTTAGTTCTGTGTTTATACATAAAGATTCTAACACAATATTACACCTACCTTTTATTACTGAAGTGCAGGTGTGTTCAAACAAGACATTAATTGGTTCTATGGCTGTTGATTTGCATGAACCTTTCTGCTGACTTGATGGCAACAAAATAATATGTATTCTTGTTACGCAATGCTCTCTATAACATAGAAATATGGAATAAAACTTATATTTTTTATGGATTAAACGTTTTACTGCTTGCTAAATTATACAGGAAAGTATAGCAATATAAAGGACCTAAAGAATGTGATTTTTTAGTTAAATGACCAGCAACATAACATCTAGCCAAAGAGGTTGAAAAACCAAAAATAACGACACGAAATAATTTTTTTCAAATAAGATGTGCGACAACTAAGTCCATTTTCAAATAGTTTGCATTTTCGTCAATAGGTCTCACTATCATGCGTTTCTATTCAAGATAGGCCAAATTTCTACTTTTATTTGATGTGTTAATTCAAAATGTTCTGTAAATACCCTGCTTCGTGTTATAATTGAACTGAATCATACCTAATCACATTAATTTCAAACGATGCTGAAATTGATATTCCACTAAAAGTTCAGACACTGGCGTGTCTTGGGGAGATATTCCTTGGGAATCCCGCGAGTTGACTGCAGTGCAAGTTGTACTGAGACTGTGAGTGTCTCGTCCGGACTTGAGCAGGATTTGCGGAAAGAAGGAAAGGTAAGAGAATATGGTGTTTGTTGTTAATATGAGATACTGATAATAGCTTTCTGAAAGAAATCGCAGTTGGTTTAAGGTAATTCATGGAATAGAGTGTATCAGATTCCGATGTACTGCTTTGAAACTGGCCTTGACTCGAGGCACCAACTCGACTGTACCTGAGCACAGACGCTGAAACCGAGCAATTTTTGTTTCATGTATTTTGATATATGTAAAATAACTAGTAATGATAGTTCTTTAATTAGATCTTAGGTAACTGCATTCCTAATTTAATATTAAGAGTGTTGTAAGAGATGAGGCCGAATGCATAGAGTTTACAGCCCGTTTAGGTTTTTTATTATTCATTTGATCATATGGTGCTTTTATTACTGGTCATATACCGTNGATAAATATCGGCAAGGTGGAGATATTTCTCGCCGGCGCTTCCGCAACAGCAAGACTGAAGGACGCAAGTTACAAAGCGAAACATGTTTAGTCAAGTTAAAGACTTAATTACCGGCCTAACAGCGGCGATAGTGACTCCCGCTGTGAGCGACTTGCGCTGTCTATCGTAATCCCCCTATCATTAACACTGTCGGGGGCACACGCACGTTCGCCGTGCGTGTGCTATTAAAGTGACCGGGGACTAAATAGCTACACGGTACATAAAGGCACAGGGGAAATTTATGTATTATATTATATTATATTATATTATATTATATTATATTATATTATATTATATTATATTATATTATATTATATTATATTATATTATATTATATTATATTATATTATATTATATTATATTATATTATATTATATTATATATTTATAGTTCAGTTGTGTCAAAATAAAGCTGTGTTTTTTTTATTAGCGTGACTATAAAGATGCCATCACGTTTAACTTATTTCTATGAAATACATGCAGGGCTCTGTAACTTGAAAGCGTCGCGAATTGCGACCGAGCGCAAGCATGGAGATTTGCCTCTATTCCATAACTTGGGATTTTATCACCCGATATAATAGCCTCGAAATGAAAGGTGATATCGCAATTTGCGATGCTTTCGAGTTACGGAGCCCAGAACACTGAACAGTAAATGTTTTTGGACATCTGTTGAAAAGTGTCAATTTTACAGAAATGATCTGGAAACTGCATGTTTTTGAATACAGTGCCTTGAATGAATGAATGAATAAATGAATGAATAATGTGGAATTGATATTGTGAATTTACAGAGTGGTAGTACATATGTAACTGTGTTATAATTGGATAACATGTCATTTCATGTACTGTATAGCTGTTGTGTAAAAGTTTCCCACATAATATATACTATTGAATTTAAATTGTAATTGAATTTTATTGTTTTTTTTCTGCACTTATCACTACTCATAAACTCTTAACCACTCATTTTCCTGTAAGGTTCAGTTATAAGTTTGCCAATTATTACCAAGTTGCAATCATTCCAAATTAATTGGTAGTTCTCTTATAATAAAACTTAATAATTTGCTTGTAGAAAATTCTGGCAGGAGTTTCAGGGCGTTGCTGAAAAAAGACAACTCAGACAAGTAGCTGGTCCTATTATAAACAACTTGTTCTTTTATTAATGCAGGAAATATCTGCCAAGAATGTGAGGATTCTGGCCGTACAACCCCAATCTTGTGCAAGATCCATCATAGCGAGATAGTCTGTCAGTTAAGAGCATGTTGATGAATATGGGCCAGCCATAGTCTGTACACTGAGGCAGGCTTCATTACCATTGACTGCAGCCAACTTCCAACAGGACAGCACAGCGCAGGAGGACACACACATGGATATACTTGACTAGCCTTTGAACCGACCATATCAGATGAGTGGTACAACTGCTTTGTACAGGGGAATCAGTCATTTTGAAGGGTGTCCCTGAAAAGTTGGTTATTACAGAGTTCAAAAGACCTGGTTAATTCATGTTGATTTGAAGCAATCTTCTAACTGGATTATAGCATTGCAATGCACTGGCTAAATTGGATAATTGGATATGTGATCTTTGTGATAGGTCTTCCCCATGGACAAGGTGAGTGCACATGTATTCCCATTATGTTGTTATTGGAGTTTTAGAGATCAGAGTTATAACACTAAAAGAGTAATCAACCCTTTTTTTGCAGAACACTTATTTGTAATGTAAAAAGATGTGGTACTACTTTTCTTGGAAATCATGAATCTCCTGTCTGTTGATTCTTTTGAGAATATCTTAAGTGAGGGATATACATGTAATAGGTTTGAATATAAAGCACTAATTTTCCAATATTATAAGTAATAAATGTAGATTTTATTTATTTATTTATTTATTTATTTATTTATTTATTTATTTATTTATTAGAGCTTGTTAACCATTTCCCTGGAAAAAGTGTTTGTTTACATGATATACAGGGCCTGACAGATGTATATGGTAAAATACAGCACTAGAGGCAGTGTCCTGCAGTTGCCAGTTATATGCAACTAGGGCCTGATGATCTGAACAAATTATTGTATTAAAATAGATTGTGAACCCAACACTATGGCATGCTGTTTGAGGCTATTGTATATGGCACCTTTGTATTCTGTGTTGAGTAAGATAAAACTAGATGCCCCACAGTGAGCAGGTATGCTGTTTACATGTCTCTGTGTTACTGTCAGGTCAGCGGATTTAAGATTAATTTTCAGTGTAGCTTGAATTTGTCTTATTAATTCAATTTTTCATCAAAAAGATGTTTCCTTTTTAGCCTTTATTACCAGCCTACAGTTTTTTTATTATAGTAATTATGAATAATCCAACTGATATGTGTGATTATTGCAAAATTATACAGTCATTTTTTGTGAGGAATTATTTTACATAATGATCTTAAAAGGGATACACATGAGTGAATCCATATTATAACTGGGGCTAAACTGCAGTTAGATTTCTCCTAAGTGCACTGATACATGTATGTATATTGGAAACCAGCCAGTACATGTATAAGAAGGAAGTGGACAAAAGGATGAATGGTACTTGGCAGTTTGGGACTACAATTACAATTTATAGTTTGGTCCACTGGATTGTAAACAAAGCATGTCTCTATCAATGTCCAGTTTTTAACAGAGGGGATGGTTACACCTCTTTACTGGACAATGGAGCTGGTTAAATGGTCATTTTTGTTAGGTTCCAATTATATCATTGACCCTTGAAAGTCCTCTAGACAGAGATAAAAGTTTTGGTCTGAAAATTTGAATCTACTTATACCCCTAGTAGATGGAGTGCTCATGCATGCATCATATCTTTTGGTGTTTCAAATTGTTTTAGGAGATCAAAAAAATATTGATGACACTTACTGCAGTTATTAAGTCTGTTATTTCAGGAGAATTTAAAAAGGTTTTTCGGTAAATTTTCTCGTCAACCTTTTTGTGTTTATTTTCATGTTCATTTTGGGCAAATAAAAACTTGATTAAATTTACTTCTACCAGAATATTCCTGTAGTTGTTTTAGTCTTGTTTTCAGGTTGTGCAAGTACAGTCAACTTTTTAAAGCTTAGTATGTTTTTGAAGCAACTCTGCTGTGTTCCATTAAAGACCATTTAAAAATTAAAAAAAAAAAATTCAAAGTGCATTGAGTTTTTTTTGTATCAACAAATTGAAGATCTGTTTCCATTAGAAATGGGTTGATCCAGCTTAGTACTGTATGTAGTTTCTTTGAGGACTGACTATCTAACCATAGGAAGCCAGTGAGTCTAGTAAAATATCAGTAACCTTGAACAATCCCAGTGGTGATAGGATTATATAGGGATTAGATTGGCTTCTTATGATAAAAAATCATTGTTAGTGTTAAGATAGTACATTTAAGTTAGGCCAATCCATTTCCACTGATAAAAACACCTTAAGTGTATAGACTATCATGATCCATATGACATTGCTTTAATGTCAAAATAATATTCTTGCAGACTAAACTTAATGTCTGAATACACCAAGCACTAAAGAAAGATATTGTCTGAAACATGATTAGCCCACTAAATAGCTGATCTGTGCTATTTGCACTCTATTCACGAGTGGAATTCTCAAACAGTCCAACCCCCGCCAACCCCGCCTTAGTCCACTGTTGGAAATAAATAGTTGGATTGTTAGTTTTGTGCCTATCCATGGGGACATTGTAGTAGAAGTCAATAATGTCTCGGCTTAACCACTTATGTTTCCTTACTTTTTCAGGGTCCTGTGTGTTTGAGGGTATACAAATTGAGGTAAGTGTACACCTGTTTTCGTTCAGTTCAAGTGCTGTATAACTTGTCCCCCCTCTGAGCCATGAAGGAGGGGTCTGGATGTTGTGTTTGTACTGTAGCTTTAATACACCCCAAACTGAATGCTTGACATGCTTGTTGGCATTAAGGTTTTGCTTGTGAAAAACTATATTAATGTTAAATGTAACATGCTATTTAATGTACTGAAATAAAAATTTAGCTAATTATATCTAGCTAACTTAATTTTTCTTGATTTCCCATGAGAAAAAATGTTTTATTTAAAAAACATATATTGCTTTATCTATATAATTATATGTATGTAAAATTGCATTCTTGAGTCAGAACCATGTGCATATTATTTAGTACAGTACAACTATGCAGCTCAATCATGCATGTTCAACTATGGCAATTAACATTCAAACATGGTTCCTGAACATCATTAATTAACCCCAATTTACTGGGTAATTGATCAGGTACCCTTGAGCTTATAAGTGGTTCTCCCATTAGACTGTACATGAAAGAGTTGGTAACACTTGCACAAGTATAGATCATGATAATGTGCTCGTTGGATCAAGAAGGTGTGAATGAATAGTTTACACACTCCACTGTGGTGGCATGTTGTTTCTGCCATTATACCTCAGAGGGGTTTACATCAGCAAGTAAATTGGTTACCTTCATATTACATAGCACATTGTGGTTGTAACACCTTTTCTAGACGGTATTTGTGGATAACCATACTTAATGTCTTTTATCTTCTACAAGACGGAGGTTCTTTCAGCCTGGATAGTTTTATTTGATCAACCTAGAAGGGACCCAGAATCTTTTTCTATTACAGGTACTGATTCAATGTGCATTAGGAAATGTGAGCATCCAAAATCTGTGATTTAAATGCTTGGCATTTAGACAGATCAGCCTTTTCCCAGCATTTGAACTTTTTCTTCCTGTCCATCAAACTTTACACTGTTCTAAAAAAAGAATCAGTAATAGCCAACTTCTTAAGGTGATGCTCAAGTCCCACAAGTTTATGGAACTCTTAATAAGATTAAGTGAAATGGTGATTTTCTTTTTTATTTATTTATTTATTTATTTTATAAATTAATATTTTGTTTTGTATTCTTTTCGAATTTTTAATCCATTTCATTAAGTTGTTTTGTTTATATTTATTTTTTGTTATTTTCAATTAGTTTGTTTTAAAAATATGTTCTTTATCTTCTGTGACATATATATATCAGGTGCCATAAAAACACTAATTTCAGATTTCAATAACTTCAACATATGTCTTTTAACATTCTTTTTTATTTATTAGTACATTTATTCAACTATGATGCAAAGAGTGTATTTACGTATCCGACCATCGGGTTGCAAATTTGATAATAATAACAGTTATAAAGATATTGCAATGAAATTTGAGATATTTTTGTAGAGTCAAAACTTTAAGCATTTATCAAAAACATTTTCCTAAAAAACCCAAAGTGCATTGAAATATTTTCAAAACTGTTGAAATTAGTGAACTTTTAAATTAGGAACTTTCTTTAGCCACCCGATAAATATATCAGATAGACTAAAGATAAGTAATTGAAGTTGTAGAGTACAAAATGATTTTACTGTTAAAAGCTGACAAAAGATCCAAGGATTATTCAGACATTTTTAAGTTCAGTACTTCAGCTTTACCCTAGATAAGTTGCTGATTCCATGTACAGTAGTTATGCATATTCTACATATTATTAGTATCTATTCCCATTGTTTGTTGCTAATAACAAGTTAAAACACATTTCGAGTTTTGAAAAAATGGTTGACTTGCATAAGAAGAAATTGTTACTAGGTACTGTTTTTGTGGCTAAAAATTCTTCTTGTGGTGTTCAGAGTTGGTAGGTTTTATAACCAGACTGCAGATGTTAGTTTGGCCAGCGCAACTCTTTTGGTATTTTGTTAGGACCCTCAAAATCCCTTAACCATATCATATTCTTTGCTCTGTACAGGAGATTAGCCAGCCTGAAAGATTTAGCATTAAGACCTGTTTTGATTTGCCACCTCAATTTCTGATATAAGTTTCTGTGAAAGAGTGTGTGGTTTGTTCTTGTGTGTTTTTGGAAGGCAGTGATACATTGGCCAGATAAAACCAATCATTTGGAAGGTTGAACACTTGAAGTGCTGCAGGGGATATGCAGGGATGTCTTTTCATCATATCAAGATTGCTACATTGTATTTTAACTCTGAGTTTATATGGTTTATATGCAGGAGAAATGCATATATTATCTTTTTTTTTTTTTTTTTTTTGAAAGAAAATGAAAAAAATTATAAGTGAGAAATACAAGTGAATTTTTTACGTTGTTTTCCTGGATTATTATGTGTGGTTTTGATTTTGAAACAATAAATGACAATTTTAAAAAGCTTTGTTTAAGATAACAAATTTTAGATTTTATGCTGTTAGTAATGGTAATAATGGTTGAATGGTTTGTTTAGGTTTCAACTTTTTTTCAAATTTTTGAGATGAGTAATGTCTCTTTTATGTAATATGTGATGTGCGTATTCATTTGCATCTTCGGTAACACCAAGAACTTGTGTGCATATTACACATATATACAAATATCCTTGGTTTTATACACACATCCCCTGTGCAAACTATATCGCTATATATATTTGGCTATTTGTGATAAATATTGAAAGACAGCTCGAAGAAATCTGAGGTGTAGAGGGAAGTTGGTATTTTGGTATGAAGGTTTTTTCCCATAACCTTTAAATGGCCAACCTGTGAAAGTACAGGGTTTGGTTTGAAAATTGAGACTCTCTACTGTATACATCTTGCAGTCTATTTTTCTTCAATCCTTTCTTGTCTTGATAATGAGCAGGCTTTTAGAAATGAGATCCAAGTAAGTGACATAAACAATGGATTTATTTATACATTGCTGATGCTGGGTTCTTTTAAGTTGAGTAATGTAAGCCAACTTTCTCAAAAGATTTAACTGGAAAGAGGAAAAAAAAGAAAACCTTTTTGTTCTGTCTTCTGAGTTGAAATGCAATCTTTGAGGTCACAGAGAGTCCCGTCTTGATGAGTATGCTTGTAATGGACGGAAACCAAACTATATGGTTGAAGTGCGCAGTTAACACAATTTCTTCTGTTCTATTTTTTTTGTGTGTGAATTTTGAAATGGAGAAAGGGGAAGAGGTAGGGAAGCAAAAGTGGGTCTATTGTATGACATGTCCTTTAATTATTTGTTAAGACAAGAATGGCGTCTTGTTTTGTATCCACACCCTAAAACACACTTTCCATACATGTCTTCTCATTGCAGTTTCTTCAGTAATGCACAAAATCTCACCATTAAAATGGTTCTTACGTGTATATTAATTAAATTAATGAACAAGTAAATGGACACATTAAGATTATAAGCCTTTAGGTCTCATTCCCATTGAAACCATTGTTCTGTGTAGATTGCTCCAACCCTGCTGGAACTCTTGCTGAATGCAATCAGGTTAACAGATTAAATTGCCTCTTCTTGGCATTGAGTAGAATACAGAAAAGTTGCTGATTATAAGACTAAACTGGAAACAAGAGGAGGCGTGTTAATCTGATTGCATTCAGCAAGAGCCCGCAAGGAGTGGAATCGATCAGTAGTTTATACAGAATGAATCCTAATGTTGCTCTCAGCTGTCATTGTAAGTTAGAATCACATATATTGTTAATTCTTAAGCTCACATTGTTTCTCATGTTTTATTGTATAGTACTGTACATGTATTTTCATCTTTGCATTCATATAAATGAGAAACAGAATTACATCTGGAATTCTATTATTTACAGAATGGTACTGTCTGGAAGTCAGATAGCTGTCACATCTGCACATGCCTCAGCCCTGTCACAGTGTGCGAACAAGTGACATGTCAGGACCCTAGATGTAACATACAGCAGGTAAGAAAAACACTGGTGGTTATACAGGATTAGAAACTATGTAGAATGAGAGAGTAGATAAAAAAAACTTGTAAATTGCACTGTTTTGGCATCGCTGCATGATTCTGATGGAACAACATGGTCAAAAAGCTAAGATCATATTGTTTTACTTTGACTCATTTTCTACTTGTCCACTCTTTCCTTTGACTGTTATATTTTTCATTAAAAATGGGGAACACTACTATTTGCCCTTTAGCCACTATAATTTTTCTGTTTAGTACCAAATAGGTGAAAAACCATAGGCTAGTATATTCTTTTTAGTAGGTACAGATTTCAGACATAAGAGCAGTGTGGGTAGGATACAGGATACATATATCAACTGCTTAGGGACAAATTTTGTTAATGCATTTCCCATATAAAGAGTTTCCAGTGGCTCTTTACCTATATTATGGCAACAGTGCCCACATGGTTACTGTGGTCTATCCAGAAGATAGATTTCAATTTTAGATAGGTTGAACTGCTGTGCTGACATCCCCCAGAAGTAAAAGGGATAAATGCCTTGTCATGTCTGATAAATACAGTTATTTTACTCTCCAATTTTCAAAAGTTTTTACACTTTTTCTCTCTAGCTCTTCCTTTTTTTTTTTTTTTTGACAGCTCACCAAGAACAAAATCACTATAATGTAATTGCCTTGTCTGTTATCTCTGGGAACTACTATCTGCCATGCCCCTCATCAAAGTTCTCTTTCTCTTCTTTTACAGTAGCTGTTTGTTTAAAGTAGATAGTTGTTTCAAGGACAGCACCTTTGATATGTGTTTTTTTAAAGCTGGTGATTGATAGCTTATGTAGACCCAGAAAACACCCATCAATAAAAACCCAAACCTTTGTAGTTTATGGCCAGACTAAAATGTCAAAAGGCAGTTGGGCCTCTGAAATTCTCTTTTTGACAGAGAGGTCAACAAGAATTAATGGTTCTTTTAGAAGAAAAAGTTTGCCCTTGATTTATCTGCTATTGTGACTGACCACATATACATGTTCTATAAACTATTATTTTCAGGAAAAAAGTTTTGGAGGGGAAATGTTTTGATCCTTTTCAAAGTCTGTAAATGACTGAGGAAATTACATTTACCCTATAGATAAATATGTTACTTATATTACATAATTTTTCAAAAAAGAAAAAAAGAGAAAAACATTTTTCAAAAAAGAAAAAAAGAGAAAAACATTTTTCAAAAAGAAAAAAAAAGAGAAAAACTTTAAGAGAAATAGTGGATTTTTCTTAATTCACCAATTTGTTTCACATATGCCTGAAAATAAATCATGACCTTAAGGACCTTTTCAGTGCTAATTACTACCAGGTGATGTAGTCAGGTCTGCATGTGTTTGTTTTGTTTGTATATACAGGGAGAAGTATACAGAATTCCATCAGGTAACTGTTGTCCGGAATGCTTCACACCTGGACCACCATGTGTGTATAAAGGACAGACACGGGAGGTAAGTATATCATATCTCTTCTTTCACACCTTTATGTTTGTGCTCATGCTATCTTTTCATAAAAAAGCGATAAGATATTTAAGCTGATGGAAAACAAAAATATCAAATTTTCTTCAGCCTATTTTAGTATGTTATGTAAAGAAATAACTGGATCGTTTCAATGGTCAAAGTTATCAAACTTTCAGATACATAATTTTATAATCACAAAAATTATTTTTTGTATAGATTTTGTGGTGTTTTTACTGCAAAAAATAGAACTATAGAGTAGCCTGCTTTTTAATTTTGTTGCTACCACTCAATAGGAATTTTCTAATCTTAAGAAATTATGACTTAAAAAACTACAGAATCTTTAAAATTCATATTTTCCCCATTGAAAAGACCAAGTAAATACCGTTTACCAAATAACTTCAATAATGTTGGTCTGACACGTGTTGATGTAATGATGGATAAAAGCACATTTTTGTTCTCACTCCTATTTGTTCTGAATGTTATTTAGAATCACAGACTTTAATTTCAGTTTTAAAGGGCCATTTCTTTCTCTGTAATTCTAAATGCCCATCTGCAAAAGTAATAATTGTTTGACCTCGCTACTTCTGCCTTGGCAAAAGTTATCTGACCTCTGTGCCTTGACCAGGGCAAGGAAGGATTGAACCTTCTACCACAGGTCCAGATTTCTTTTGCAAGGATACTGGAGTTAAAGGTTCTTAACAGAATTTAGCAGAGAATATAACTAGACTCCACTTATCCATATCTTTATCTCAGTCGAGGAAAAAGTTTACAATTCAAATGTTATTGTTTGTAATAATTCTAAGAATTCTTTAGAGAAAGGACTAAATTTCTGATAATTTGTTTGGAAGGATGCTAACTCTGCATGGGGAAATAACTATGCAAACTGCACCAAGAATAGGCAAACATAAAATTGTGATATATTGTAATGACTCACTTTGAGAGGGTCACTTACCTTTTTTTTTTTAGACAATATAACTTTTGAAAAGATGCAATAAATAGTTTTAAAAATTTCTCAATACAATAGTTGCATTTGAATGAAGCACCAGTATTATCATTCTTATAACCATTATTGTTTTTATTTTTATTTATTTTATTTTTGGGGGGTTACACTGCCATTACCCTTATTACTGAATTTCCAGCTTGTTATTAGCTCAAGGAAATCACTCAGCAGGTAAAAACAATCTACTTGCAATACTACATCACCAATAAATCACATATTTAGCCTGCCCCAGCTGACAGACAGGTAGAATACATATCCCCCACCTGGGCACTCAGGATTAACAACATATTTAAAGAGGATTAGAAACCTATATAAAGAGCTTCGAATTAACAGTTTGATGAAAGGTAATCGACAGGGGTTTAAGTTTCCCTCCAAGGTGTAGAAACTGGTGAACTTGATATTTAGTTTGAATAGCTGAGCATACCTTGCCTTGGGTATTGAAAATGCAACTTATATTTATTAAAGAATTCGATAATTCATTTTACCCTAGAGATAAATCTTTCCCTTCAGTTCCTCATGTGTTAGTGTAACATGGGTGCTTTCATAAGTGTGGATTTGAAAATGTCACAATGGGGCAGTGTTCTCCCTCTTGACCCAAAAGAATACCAAGGCCTGTTAAACTCTACTTTAGCAGAGAACAAACCTGAAGGAGGCACATTAATAAACTCTCCAGGCAATGAGGGCAGAGTTCTCTAGTAACACTGAAAGGAGATGAAAGTATGCCTTGCTGGTAAGGACTGTGTCTATTCATCCCCCCTACTGATTTCTCCAGAGTAACAAAAAGTTGAGGTTGGATGATGATCATGATCATGACCACCAGACTTTTTAGACTAAACAGACCACACATCAGACCCTGTTATGTGTAACATCTTTGCACTTATATTGCCCTGGTACGTGTGATTTTTAGCAGATGATAGTGAAAACATATCTGTCCAAACATGGCTGCCTGAAGGCCCATGGTGATTGCTGTTTTTGTTTGATTTAAAAGAAATTGGCTTGAATAATTCTACTCCCCTAAGGATAATGATGATGGATCTTGAGACACTTTCCACAATGAAGAAAATATTTCAACTGTGTATGCTGTAAACAGAATCAATGAAATGGCAAATATTGGCAAATATTTACTCATTCTCGTGTTGACATTGTTCTGAAACAGCATCTGAATTTAGTCCAGACTTAACTCTTGTTCTACAGCATTGTTTGATAAGTTTACATGCCGTAAAAGCAGACTTCCATCAGCTGAAATCCTGTTTAAAAAGTAACCACATGTAGGCTTAGTAAAACTGTTTCACTCTTATCATTTTACACCCTTTTGTTTTACTTAGTGTCTCAAAACAGTTGTATAAATGTTGTCAGAGCACATTGCCAAGGAGATGGCATGATATAAACCATACATGTACACACATATCAGCTCAGTAGTGTATAAGATTTTGCAATGTTTTTTTCAGATGAAAAAATATATTTTTTTTCTCTAGTTTGACTCTAAGTGGCATGTCAGCCTGTGTGAGAGCTGCCACTGCACAGAGAAAGGCGTGATATGTACCAATAAGACTTGCCCAGCTTTACACTGCAAACACGGAGAAGAGAAGCAAAGTTTGCCTCATGTCTGCTGCCCAAAATGTGTCCCAACAGGAAGTAAGTGGACAACATCTTTGTTTTCTCTGAAATAATTACCCTCTGGTAACCTTACACCATAGTGACCTCTTCACCAAAAAAAATGTCTGTCTGTGCGATTTTTTTTCTTTTATTCAATTTACCAAGCTTTTATTTATAGCAGTTTTAATTTCATAATATGTGTCTGCAGTGTGATTAAACAGTGATAAGATCAATGTTTATTTATCTTTGTCAGTCTGTGAAGGTTGAAGTTGATTTTTTTGGATACAGACTAGCAGGATGGAAAACAGAGTCAAAACACATGACCCTGTCTGTCAAGCAGAACACTTCATTACAGTATTGACACCAGGGGGACTCATTATTTTGCTCTCTCATGGATTTTGCCTTTTTCTTCACTGTTTTGCCTGTCAGATGAAAATAAAATGACTGCTAGTATGTTGGGCAGTATTGCTGCAATGTATCCACTGGTTGGATCAAATATTGTGGAAATTTTTTGTGTTTTTCTAACCTTCAGGTGACAAATATTGGAAGCATTTACAAAAAGAATCTTATCTATTTCAGTGTTACAGACTTACATTACTGATCTCTTAGTTGAATTGTGTCAAATGACAACCATACACGGCAAATCTCTTTTACAACATGAAAAAGGGGATTATCTCTTTGGCTTATTTTATTGTGGAATGTGCACAGCTTAGAGGCATCACTGCATCATGCACTAAATGGCTGAGGTATTAGAGTGTCACTGAATACAGTGCTCAAATAGAGGTGGAAAATTCAACAGGACTTATGCTTTGTTGTGTGACAAAGTATAGAATTTCACCCTCTAGGTCCTAGTAGTGCTTTGACTTGAAAAAAGTACACTGTATGATGAGGTTGTATCAGAAACAGTTGTTGACACTCATTAACTAAGAAAGAACACAAGCATGTGCACCAGCTGATTGCTATATGTATGGGGTCCTACACCCTCCTTTGACCTTAGTTATGTGTCACTTCACAAAGAGAATGAAGTTGAAGAGGGCTCCCTGACTTATTATGATCTAGCAGGATCAACAAATCTTATTGACCTTTAAGTTGAGGAAAAAAGAGACCAAATCAAATGTAGTCGTGGAGTTGTTTATTTTTAGGTTTTACTTTTTCCTTTTTTGAATTTTTTATGCTTGTAGGGTATTTCAGTTCTTTTGTTCTGCATGATTAGAAAAAACTTAGAATAAACAAACTTTGAAATCTACAGCGAAGTATTTATGTGCAAACTGTTCAAGGCTCAGTTAGGAGAATGTAAACAATTTCCTCAGTAGTTTATACATTTTTTGCTACAAATGTTCTGCTCTTTGGTCTTTTATCTGTGTTATGAGGGTGTTATATGAGGCTATGCAGATAATTGTATTGTCAAGTGTTCATCTGGGTGTTAGCAGTGTTAAATAAAAAAATCAAATTTGAATAATACAGGTAACAAATGCTGAGCAGTTAATATATTGAATATATAACTTAACAGGTAACATTTTATTTTCACTATTTATTGTAACCCCATCCATTTTAGAATAGTATTTCAGATTTAAAGTAAAAAACAACATTTTCACCTATAACCTTTTAAACAAAATGATGTGTATCATATGAAAATTGTTAGACTTTTTGAATATTTTCAATTTTAGGCTCTTGTATGCATCAAGGTGTTCACTACCTGGATGGTGCTGTCTGGGAGCCAACACCCTGCATCAGGTGCAGTTGTCAAGATGGAGAAGTTACATGTTTCACTACCCAGTGTCCAGATCTCAGGTGTGCACAGGTGAGTCTACTGTCTATTCCCAATGTCCAGATCTCAGGTGTGACCAGATGAGTCCACTGCCTGCTCCCAATGTCCAGATCTCAGGTGTGACCAGGTGAGTACAGTATCCGTTGGTAATGTCCAGATCTCAGGTGTGCACAGGTGAGTCTACTGTCTATTCCCAATGTCCAGATCTCAGGTGTGACCAGGTGAGTACAGTATCCGTTGGTAATGTCCAGATCTCAGGTGTGACCAGGTGAGTGCAGTATCCGTTGGTTATGTCCAGATCTCAGGTATAACCAGGCAAGTGCAGTATCCGTTGGTAATGTCCATTTCTCATATGTGACCAGGTGAGTCTACTGTTTTTCCCAGTGTCCAGATTTCAGGTGTGACCAGGTGAAACTAGCATGATTAGTGTCAATATCTTTGTATCACATGTTACCAGTTACGTGTAATTTGGCCAATTCATTCAGCTATAAAACAATGAAAAAATTACAGTAGGTAAAACTTTAACCTGTGCCAAACGTGTTGGTATTTCTAAGGAGCTCAAATATGAATGGTGCAAAATTCAAAATTTGATTGAATTTGATGACTTGGGGAACTTAAGGGTCAACCTTTGCCACCAGTTAGTATGGCTGGCACAGTTGTACTTGACAGGGAAATTTTTCTACATCTGCTGCCTGTTCCAAAAAACATTCCATAAGAATATATAAAAGAACTCATGTGGAACCTTATTGCTTTTGTCATTAATTATCTTCCCTGCTAACTTGTTTACCTGGCAAAGGCTTTTAAGTGAATACTTGGACAAAACTATTTTGACATTGATTAATTCAAACCAACTGCTTGATTGTAATATCAGAGACCAGTTCACCAAAATACCATTTAGAGCACAAGGCTGGCTTGAAGTTATTATTATTTTTTTTTCTATTTCATTCATTTCTTCTAATTATTGGATATGCAACATTTCATCTCTGGTGAATTTGAAAGGTGTTCATAATTAATCAACATGACACCTCGAATGCCACCATATCTTTTCTCATTGGCAGAAAATGTCTGCAGAAGTAAACATATCATTACTACACAGTGGAGAACATAAAACACTTATTAAGTAAAAGGATATCTCAGTGGGTGTGTTATCTGTAAGGCCATGTGTTTACTGACGTCAGGGTTGTGCAGAGATGCACTGCAGTTAGAGAAACTCCATCTAGTTGGAGAAAAAATGCCATGCCATACAGCTTCATAGTTTCTTGTTGAGATGAGCAGTGGTTAGAGTTTATTTATGTAAATCTGGAAGTTTTTTTGTACAGAAAACCAATGGTGTAATGGAATTGTTGTTAAGATGTACATTTCCTGTAGTTTTAGATTTTATGTGTATAAGTATGTATAAGTAGCATGATTTTAATCAATATAATATAATATAATAATTATTATTATTTATGACAAGTATTTTGCATTTTCATGTGAAAATGGTGTCATTTCAGGGTTCCAGTGTTGTCCAACTTCCGTCCACTTGTTGTCCACAGTGTGTAGAAGACATGTGTTATGTGGGAGGAAAGCAATACAAGGTAAACACTAGGCCGTTAATAGGAATTTTATGGATTATTTAAGTAAGTCTTTGATAAGTAAAAAAATTTCCTAACATGTGGACAATTTCTGTTTTAGGTTATCATCTTAGTCTCCTTCCGAATGTTTACTGGTTGAATTGTTTACAATGGGTATTACCTTTAATATTCTAGTGTATAAGTTCTAGATATATGAGTTAGTTTTAAAAATTATGTTTTGATATCAAAACCATCAGTCAGTGTTATTTTAAGATAACAAGATCTTTTTGTATATTTGATGCACTCTCTACCAGTCTGGTGATGAGTGGCAGGAAGATAGCTGTACCTACTGCAGGTGTTCCTCAGGGCATAGTCAGTGCAGGAAGGTACAGTGTGAGGATACAATACAGTGTGAACCAGTAAGTTTTTTTTACGTTTTATATTCTTTTGACCAACATAGAAATGGTACTTGAATTTGAATACATTAAAAGCTTTATTATTAGATATTTGAAAAATTTTTATGATAAAATAATTTACTAAAGAAGTGTTCTACAAGTATTTCTCAGCCTAAGGTCAGAGTATGATTTCAGGGTGAGAAGAAGCTGCTGAAGCCTGGAGATTGTTGTCCATCTTGTGTGGCAGAGGAAGGTTGGTGGAAGGCTTTTTCACTAGTATTAATTTAAACAATATAGGTGAATGTTTCTAGAATCTAAGATATTTTATTCGGTATTTAATGGTTTACCAGTTTGGGATATCAATTCATTTCCCATCTTACCATTTTTTATTCTGATTAGCGGTAAATAGTGTAAAATGATGTAAGCATTTAAAATGATCTCTACAATTTCCTCAGCTCCTTGTGTGTACAGTGGAGGGCTATACTATCATGGTGACATGTGGAATACATCACAGTGTGAGTTCTGTACATGTGACAGAGGGAGAGTGAACTGTCACCAGGCAAGGTGTGAAAGGAGGCATTGTGAACAGGTAGGCTTAGGCTGGCATAGATATTGCTTGCTCTGATGTTCCTTGATTGTGTAAGGTAATGTTTCCAGTGAAAAAAACAGTCATTACAAGAAATTTGAATGTTTTTTTTTTTTTTTTTTTGGGGGGGGGGGGGGGGGGGGGGGGGTTTGCCTTAGACCCGGGAATTAATTCGGGATAAATTTTTTTTTTA